GCACCTGTAACAGGGCTTTACCGCAATGCAGGGCTTACCGTAGCCATCGGTGTCAATGATACGGCTTCTTCGGTATATGCATCACCCGCTGCAACGACTACTTATACAGCCGTTGCCAATCAGCAGGGATGCCGTTCTGCAGTTTCCAATAATTCCGTGGTTACCGTTAACCCGGTTCCATCTGCTGCAATTTCCTATACAGGCCCTGTTAGCTTTTGCCAGGGAGCCAACCTTACTTTGTCTACACCAACCGGTACCGGCCTGACCTATGTATGGCGGCGCGATGGCAATCCGATTGTAGGTGCTACGTCTGCAACATATACCGCTGACAGCACCGGTGCCTATACCGTTACGGTCACTAATAGCTCTACTTGTAGTACAACTACTGCAACCCCTGTGAACATAACCGTGGTGCCTGCACCCGCTGCAACCATCACGGCTTCCGGTACTACCAGTTTCTGCGTTGGCGGATCGGTAGTATTGTCGGCACCTGTGGCACCTGCCGGTGTTACTTATACATATGTTTGGAGAGATAATAATGTGGCGGTTGCCGGCCAGACGGCACAAACATTTACGGTGAACTCTTCACGGAATGTTACCGTTACCGTAACCAATACCACTACCAACTGCAGTGCCACAACGCCTGTTGCAACGGTAGTAACCGTAGGGCCGCCACCACCAGCACCTATTTCTTCAGCACTTACGCCTGCAGTGGTCTGTGCCGGGCAAAGTGTACGCCTGCGTACCAATAATGCCGGAGGGCTCAGTTACCAATGGAAGTTGGGTGGGGTAGATGTTGCCGGTGCCATCGATTCTTTTCTGGATGCAACAGCAGCCGGTAATTATACCGTTGTTGTAAGTGCCGGCGGACCTACTTGTGCTTCTACCTCTGCGGTATTGCCGGTAACGGTGAATGCGCTGCCCAATGCGGCGATCACGGCATCCGGTGCACCAACGGTCTTCTGCCAGGGGGGAAGCGTGGTACTGACCGCCAATACCGGCAGCAACCTGGCTTATCAATG